AAGACTATTCACTGACTGATTTGGCCAAGAATGTCTCATAATGTTTGAACTTTTATTCATACGATGCCGTTCAGTGGTGATTAGATGGATAAATAGTTACATAACACAATTTAATCTCTTGTGTAATAAGTTAACTGTGTTTTCATTGAGGATTGGCAGATACTTAAAAGGTGCATTGTGTAACTTTTCTGGTGGAATGTTCGCAACCTGCTTGTTACTGGTCAGATTTATGGAGAAGCAAGCCCATGCATAGTAAGAATTCATGTTTTCAAGGTATTTTTGAGCTATAAAGCACCTGTAATAGCTGAATACATGCAAGGCAGATAGGTTTAATGTCATGCTGTAGAACATTTAATACAAAGAGATAACATATCCATGGAGACAAGCAAGTGGTGGACCCTCTACCTGAGTTGTAGCACCTTTAAAGTCAAGTAAAAGTATCAATAATGGTGTGAGAACTGTGCATCCCTATAATTACCAGAATCTAAATAACAGCAGAGAGGCACAATGAGCCACACTCTGAGTTTAGACCAATCAGACGAAGCACAGACAGATTTAAGAAGAGAGCTAAACTTGTGAAATCAGTGGTGACCGGGCGTGCTGCGCGAGCCCTCCCAAATGTGAGCACAGCTTGAGTCTCTTAATGAGTGCATTATGAATTAATTGAGCCATTTTGTGAAAACTTTCCCAAGGCTGGAACCAAGCTGGCCCCAGTGTGAGGGACTCTCAGATGTAAAAATAACAATGGCGGGGTGGTACAGAGCAGTTTAGGAGTGACTTAAGGGAAGTATAATTAGTCCAAATGTGAATATAGAGGAGTACTTTTGACTTTTTAAGTGGTGGAGCCTTGGACTTATGGACTCAATTAGATCTTTTATTAAAAAGTTTGAATATAGGCAATCTAAGAAAACTGCCATACAGTCTAATTATGTAAATCTAGAGTAATACATTCCTAATAGGTTCGGTAACGTTTAGGATTGTAGCTATTCTGGAGTTTCAGTTTTCAATATTGTGACGTTTTGAGAATAGTTGACCATTCAAATGATATTTATTATTTTGTTTTCAAGAGTTAATTGCTATGAAAACAGTCCAAACTTTTCATAATTCTGAAAGGTAAGGTTCTGATAGGTAAAAATGGTTAAAGTAAAACTAAAATCAGGACAGCCAATGAATCAGTAAGTTACCAACAATAACTGTAAGTGACAATATTAAATCTTGTTCAAATTTAGTGGCATATTCTTCAAGTATTTAGTATATTTTTTATGTAAACAAAACCAGGTGAAACTTTATTCACAACCTGATTCCTAAGACTACATTCACACTGAAACGAATCCGCGTATCACCATATCATGTACAGGAAACGATCTGCGTCCAGACTCGTCGTTTCTGTGTCCGCAATCCTTCCCTATCCACACAGCTTTGAGCATATTTGTTTACGTTTTACAGAAGCGAAACTGATGCGGTTCAGCTTCTGTCGGACTAAAGGACACAACTCAACGATGGAATATGAGTGTTCGTGTTCTTTCTGTGACAGAGGGGTGTTCTGCTGATGGTGAGTCTGTTCTGTGCTTCTATCACGTTAGAGATGGTTCATGTTAAACTTTTGAGAGATTATACACCTACAGGTCGTACACACAGACCGTATATATGCAGTGTTGGGAGTAACGCGTTATAAAAGTAACGAATTACAGTAATGCATTGCTTTTTGCTGTAACGCAGTAATGTAAGGCATTACAGGGGAAAAAATTGTAATATTTTACTCGGTACAAATGTGAGTAACGCGCGTTACAATGCTTTTTTAACCTGGATCGAAGTGGTGTGTTTTTCTTCATACAAATTCGCTAAAATCACCGCGATATCAGCAGCGGGGAAACACCGGAGACGTGGCCGAGTAGACCTTCAGGTAACCGTGGGGAAAGGACCGACACAGAACTCTATGCTGTTTAGACCTGGCTTAGACCTGGGTCAGTTCTGGTTTAGACCTGGTTTACAGTCGTCCGAAGTGCTGTATGTTTGCAAGTTTTCTCTCCGACAAAACCCACAACGTCGACAAAACGTTCTGCACTGACAAAGGCTCCTGCGCTCGCACCCAAAAGGCAGAGGAAGATGCTCACTATCGCACAAAAAGTTGGACTTCTGGACACGCTGAAGGAAGGTAGAAGTTACGCGCTGTAGCAGAGTCTTACACCGAGTCGGGTCCCTGCAAATAGTTGCTGAAATCAGGGCCGCGAGCCAGCGGAGCACGGTGTCCATAAAGAGCGATCGGGCGACAGCCGCTCTTACCTCCGTGAGGTGCGGAGCAGAGCCGCTCCTTTCTCCTGCGGTCACCTTCGAGCCCGTCCTGACAGTGAGTCCTGTTTTAGTCCTAGTTAAGTTCTGGTTTAGTCCTGGTTTTGTTCTGGTTTAGTTCTGGTTTAGTCCTGTTTTAGTCCTAGTTCAGTTCTGGTTTAGTTCTCCTCTTCAGTCCTGGAATCAGTCCGAGGTTAGTCCTGTTATAGTCCTGGTTCAGTCCTGGTTCAGCTCTGGTTTTAGTCCTGGTTTTAGACCTGGTTTAGACCTGGTTTAGTCCTGGTTCAGTCCATATACGGCGCAAAAGTTCAGCATCTTCGCAGTTATTTTGGTGAGAGTAACTTAAAGTAATGCAATAGTAATGTAATGCCTTACATTTTAAATGCAGTAATATTGTAATGTAACGAATTACTTTGAAATGACAGTAATAAGTAATAAATAACGCATTACGTTTTTAAAGTAACTTGCCCAACAGTGTATATATGAGTGGACATATATTCTAGCCTCTTAGCATTTTGGCGGTGAATTACTTCGGGGCACATAGAACTACATCAGCGTATCGGCGTTTTCAGGCGTCCACACAGTGCCGGATCAGATCTGTACTGAGATGAATTCGCGGGAGCTGGCGGCACCAGATCGTTCCGTCTCTGGAGCCATTTTCCATCGGATTAGTGTGGACGAACACTGCATCCACCACAAAAAGACTCAAATACACACTACTGTGGATGGGGCTCTAGTTAGCAAATATGTTGGAGATGTGTGGAGATATTTTTTAAATATTACATCCAGTCCTTGTATTTGCAGACGTCACTGGTGCTAGACTAGTGCATGTCAATGGTCATAGTTATCCTGCCACTAAAAACAGTCTTACCCAGAACTAAAACCAACCTTGCATTTGAAGGATTTATGTCTGAGCAGCAGCACCGGACTGACATCACCTAGTATGTTACCGGCAAAGTAAAATTCTGCTGCTGCTGAGAAAATAGCCCCTCAACATGTGACAATTCATGCGATGCAAGGTTAATTTTATTTCAAACATTATTCTGATAGACAGATCAGAATAATGACAGATATTTACATTGACCGTTTGGCGTAATAACAGATTTGCTTCGGGTGCTTTGTGGAGTGGGTAAGACTGTTTTTAGTGGCAGGATAACTAGGAAATGAGGCCCTATGTCGAAAATTTCAGACTGTCCCTTTAAGGCACAGGTGTCAAAGATACGGCCCGGGGGCCAGATCCGGCCCTCCAAGACCTTTAATGTGGCCCTTGGCAGATTTTCTACTAAAATATTTTAATTATATTTTCTATTAAAATATTGGTAATTTTCTGCATCACTTAGCATAGCAGTGTCTCCAGCGTCTCTGTACGTGGCCCCTCCCACCAGAGCAGCACAAATGAAGACTTGTCTCTTTCCAAACGCTCTTAAAGGACGATCGTTTTGACTGTTGACCGTGACACCCTCATCAGAAAAATGTCCAAAATGAGAAAAGTGGAGCCGAGTGCAGGATTTTCCAAGAAAAATGGACTTATTCATATTTACATACAAGTTCATGTTAAAACATTGTGTTGAAATTGCATTTTTCTTAAAGTTTCAGGTTGTTCATAATATTATAATATTTAGTAAAAGAAAGAGTTCATCAATTAATAAAGATTTCTGTAATAGATTTGTGTTTCTCTGCACAAATATTTGAACTTATTGTTATTTTTAAGGTATATATGACATGAGTTTTCTGATCCGGCCCCTTTAGGATCAAAGTCGGTTGGATACGGCCCTTGGACCAAAATGAGTTTGACACCCCTGCTTTAAGGTAAAACTAAAATCATGACAGCCAGTGAATCAGTAGAACCAACAATAACAAAAAGTGACAATATTAAATCTTGTTCAAACTTAAGTGGCATATTTAGTTTACTTTGTATGCAAACAAAACCAGGTAAAATGTATTCACAACCTGATTCGTAAGTGACTGGAGCAATAGTCCCAAATGTTTGCAACTTCAACATTTTAGAATCATATTTAGGTGAGGAATATTTGGTTATGTGATTAATTGAGTACATTTAAAAGTAAAACTAATGAATTACTCTCTCCACAGATGAGGGGTATGAGCAATTTCCTAGAATGTCTTGCGAATCCCCAGCAAGACGGCTGCTACCATGACCACAGAGACCAAATAAGTTCACAAATTGTAGACGGCATGTTGGATTTCTGCTTACGTAAAAGCTGGTGGAGACTACTGATGACGTATGTGATCGTTGAAGTGGTGTCCCAGTTCGTAGGGGTTTACTTTTAACCCCTAACCCTTGTTGCTCAGTTTCAAGGGGCAATGGCAAAGGGATAAGGGGAAGGGGTAGTAATTAGAAATGGGATTGGTCCTTAGTCTGGTTTGGTCTCCATGAAAATAAAAAGGTTTAATACCATACTGTGAAAATTTCCAGTAAAAGCAACAACATTTCCACGAAGAATAGCATTTGACGGACCAGAAAAGTTACACAATGCACCTTTAAACTAAAATAATTATATATTTACAATGGGCCAATGTCTCAGAGCACTCTGGTTCTCAACAAAAGACCAAAGCATAAAACCAAAGCATTTTAAATTAAGAAGAGAATCGCAAAGAGAAGTAAAATATGTTATGAACTACCTGTGGTTGTGTACGGACTCTACTTCTCCTTTTCGATTCAAGGTTAAAGTATGTATTCATGTATTTCTTACCCTCTCCTCGAGCCGGGCCACCTGGTCTCTGTAGAAAGCATCTCGTCTTTGTAGATCTGCCTCAACGGCCTCCAGCTGCTTGGCCTGAACATGGGCACACAAAAAAACAACCAACGTTAAAAGAAGGAAAAATAAACCAAAATACTGCACACATGAACACTATGGTGAGGTAAAACTGCACAAAGACTTAATTCATAATGTAGAAATTATTTATTAAGAATGATTCAGGTTTAGTTACTACTTAATTGGTACTAGGAATAGTACAAGATCTCATGCCACAAGACAACGTTCCCACAAGATCCTGCACACATGAGGAAAATGATGTTGTGAGATTTTTTTTCCCAAGTGTTTACATTAGGATTGGACAAAAAAGTGTTACATATTGATGAGTTATATCTCTAACAGTACCAAAAAGCAGGACTAGAATGGAAACAAAAATATTAAATCAATAAATAAGAAAATGTGAGGCCAAAATTGGAAACAGAACAGTGAAATGTAGATATTAGGAATTATGTAATCTTGTCTTGTCTCGTTTTCTTGGACCCAATCTCGTAACTCATCTCGTCTTTTGGAAATTCTTTCGTCTCTCCCTAGTTAATAATCTAACTCCTAATGTCAACTCCTTAATTAAGTAATTAAGCCTAAATCATTCTTATTAAACTACATATACTACATATGCTACACAGCCATACATCGAATAAACACAGAATTTTAACAACAAAATCTACTAGAAAAGTTAGTGATGCACTATGGATAGAGTCTACATTTTGGGTAAAGAACAAGAAAAGATAAATGTTAAAGGTAAATCATGAAATAGGATTGAAGATCACTGGGGATGTAACGATATCCAAATTTCTCTGTAAAATATTTTCACGATATTTATCCAAATATTTTGTGGAGGCTAACCAAACTGAAATTACCGTATTTTTTGGACTATAAATTGCACTTTTTTTTCATGGTTTGGGTGGCCCTGCGACTTATACTCCGGTGCGACTTACATATTAAAATTTTCATCTTGACGACAGCTACGCAGAAGACGAAGCGGCGCTCGGTTTACCTCTGGAGGTCGTGGAGTTGCTCAGAAGTGACACAGAGGATGAAGAATTCAATGGATTTAGTGATTTGGAGTGAGATGGAGAGTTTGGTAAATTTGTTCTGTTGTTTATGTTATAATTATCTGAAGAACTGTTCGTATGTTATGTTAACAGTCTGTTCTCTGTTCTATTGTTTTTACTATAGCTTGCATTTCAAAATAAAATGTCAGTTTTAAATACATTTTCCCCAAAAAGTATGACTTATTAGTCTGGTGCGACTTACATGTTTTTTTGTTTTTTTTTCTTTATTGCGCATTTTTTGGCTGATACAACTTATACTCCGGAGTGACTTATAGTCCACAAAATACGGTAAGCTACTTTTTCCTTTTAAAATGCCTGGACAAGCCTTTGTTTCTGTCATAATCTTAACAATTAAGATTTAAAAGTGCTTTATGACAGTTATTTCTTCATGTAAGCGGCACAGAAACTGAGCAAATGATCACGACCTATGTAGTTCTCTCAGTTTTTTTTTAGCTATATTGCTGCACTATAACTATTAATTTAGAGACACTTGTATTTCAATATACAGTGATGGAATATGATATTATTGTGAGACTTTTGATGATACAATTTCACAAAATTTCAGTTATTGTTACATCCTAAACTACCACCAGAGATTCCATTTTTGTGCGCTTGTGTGTGGTTATTCATATTTTATCCCCAATATCTTGCTTTATTCAGTACCATGTGTATTTTTGTGTAAACTAAGGCATTTTTCAAGGTTTCCCCGTAGACCTTTTATGTCCCTTTGTGTGAAAACAGCTAAACCACTATCAGGTGAAGAGGGTTCCACCAGGCCTACATAAATCTACTCACACTGCCTATCTCTCCTCTCCTCAGCCATGACCTTCACTAAACAAACACCTGACTCTTTTTGTGATAAATACAGATAGGAAACACGAGGCTATAAAAAAGTAGAGACTATTATGTTGTATTGCATAACAACTAGGGATGTAACAATAACCGAAATATCGTGATATCGTATCGTCAGAAGTCTCACAATAATATCATGGGCTGTCACAATATATCGTTTCTTTGCTTAAATACACGGTTTTATAGTAGCAACAGCTTATAAACGTCAGAAACTGCATATCCCATGATTCATTTCAGTGCAGACAACATGAAGAAATATGTTTTTTACTTGAATTCTTGGGATTATGACGGAAATAATTCACACCAAAATCTTGTCAAGGTATTTTAAAAGCAAAAAAGCATCTACAATTATATAAGCCTCTTCAAAATATCGCAACAAATATCGTACCGTGAGATTTGGATATCGTTACATCCCTAATTACAACTACACTGACTAGAAAAAGAAAATGTGTTAACACTTTACAGTACACGCAGTTTAATTAATACATGTATTAACATTGTAAATTAGAAAGTCTATGTTATGTTACCTCATAAAAAAACAAAACAAAAACTAAAATAACCGGAGTTGTGCCTGAGTTCTTCTCTCAAAAAAAAAAACTTTCTGTTGTACCTTGTGACGTCATCAAGTGGTAATACAGGAAGTGCTCCATTGTGATTTTAAACTCTTTACATCTTCACCAGAATCATTTCGTAGCTGTTAACTTGAAAACTACCACTTCATGACGTCACAAGTTGGAACAGAGCATTTTGAGCTTTTGACATGTAGACAGACTAATAATAAAGTGTTACTCAAACATGTGTGAATGAAACAAAACACAACTCCAGGTTTGTTTTTGAGGCGGTAACAACTTGATAATAGGACTAAAAGCTCACAAGTGTTAATATTTGCGTAATATAGGATCTTTCATGAAGTAAGTACATAAGGTAATTCACTGTAAATCATAGAACAACACAAAAAGTCAAAGTTGTGTGTTCTGGTTACAAGTTGTTACGCAGGGCCTTATCTTCTATTCAAATGTCATACAAGTTATAAGGGCTTTCCATTGTACTTAATAAAAGGTTTCTTTCAAAATAAATTTTTAGGAATAACCATAGATCATAATTTAAACTGGAAATCACACATAAATACAATTAGGAACAAACTATCCAAAGTGATCGCAATTATATATAAATATAGATATACCCTAGATAAAAACAGTCTTTTTATTATATATAACTCGCTGGTAATGCCCTACATAACCTACGGTATTGAGATTTGGGGCAATACATATAAGACGAATACAAAGCCAATCTTTACCCTACAAAAAAAGGCAATAAGAGCATCACATTAACAACTTATAACGAACCAACCAATGCGTTATTTATAAACCTTCAAACGCTGAAATTTTATGATTTAGTCTTTACCTTTACACTCTTAAAATCATGTTCAAAGTAAACAACAATCTCCTGTCGAAATCGTTACAGAACATGTTCAAAATCCGAAAGAGTCGATATGAGCTCAGAGGCACGACCATGTTTATTAAAAAGAAAATCAGAACAAACATTATGAAATTTTGTAAATCTGTTAAAGGGGTGGAGCTCTGGAACAACTGTACAGAAAACCTAAAATTGTGCACCACTTTCTTTCACTTCATAAAGAAGTTTAAATGTTTAACTCTGGACAGATACATGAAACATGAGACTTAGTTTGTGCTGTAGAACTTTGTTGTTCTGTTACTGATTAGCTTGTTTCTTCCTGCTGTATTTATGAAGATGAACTGGTGTCAAGATGAAGCTCTGACAAAGGAATAAAGGGTAAAGGCATAATAAGCTTAAGCTTCAGCCTGCACCTTTTCGGTCTGTATATGTTAAATATGACTGTTTATGAATTAATGTCAAAATATACCTGTGACCGAAATAAATAAATAAATGAATGAATGAATGAGGTAGCTACAATGCATGTTACATTTAGAAGGGAAAGTATTGGACATTGTTAAATAAAGAAAACATAAAGGCAAGACAAATGGGGGACCACTGGTTTTGCTTTTGTAACAATGCAACAATGGAAGTTGGGAAATATCGTGATTTTTTAAAACTACAGCAAATTGTATTTAAAGTAAAGATACATACAGGTCGAGACTTTTGACATGTGGCATTTTAAGACATAACATAAACATAAACATAGATTTTTGTGCTACACTTAAAGGCGCACTGTGGAACTTTTTGGTTGAGGATCCATAACCTGTTTGTTTCTATGGACATATCATTGCATTGCCTGGAATATTTCATAGTTTGACATTCAACAGCTCTATTTAAAACCTTTTTCGCACAGGATAAGCACAACCTGGGGACGTCTGGTAAAGCAAAGTCCGTAAATTACTTAAATTACTTATTTTACTGACTTTGACACACAGATTGAAAGAGAAAATAATGCGGAAAGAAAAGAAAGAGACAGAAAAGGAGCTAAATTACAACAACAAACACTGACATGCAGATTCACGCGGGACTAGTATTATCACCGGACGTCTGTGTTTGGCGAAATATAGTAGGCAATTTGCGTCAGAATTTTTTGTTTATAAATTACAGACGTGCCGCATTCGCACGGGATTAAGACCTCAGGCATCCTCCGCAATTATTACAAATCACCAAAGGACCAAAGGTAAAACTAATCCTGTGCGAGTAAGGCTTTACTTTTATTCAATTACAGGTGGTTTTGTAGCTAAAAAATACCTAGAAAATCTCGTTTTCTGATTGAGCGGGGTCGCCTCTCCACAGATCTGACCTGTGACTTGGCTTGGTTTGGTCTCCGTGAAGATAGAAAGGTTTAGTTCCATACTGTGAAACATTCCAGACAATGCAGTAACGACGCTCCACCAGAAAAGTTCCACAATGCACCTTTAAGTTTGAAAACAACCAATGTATTTTTTTAAGCACTTCGAATTGTCATCTTTTCCGTCTTTCACAAAGCTACCCAGTCAGTCAGAGGAGCTGTAAAAATCCGAAACTGGTGAAGAAAATGTATAACGTCAAACGAAAAATGAAATGGGGAAGACATACTTGACTCCTATCAAGTGGAAAGCCGATCCAAACTTACCTTGCATCTCATCTCCTGAAAGAGGGAAGCATTGGAGGAAAACG